GAGAGATTCCCAATGTGAACCGATCATTATTTGGAGTACGGTAGATGAGAATGAATAAAAAGAAAAAATTTAAAATTGAAATGAGCAATGCTCATTTGGTGTGCAAAAACCACTATACAAAAATGCCGAGAAGTTCTGAAACGTCGAGTTCTGAAATGTCCCGGAGAACGAAATTGCATGACTATGTAGTTCTAGATTTTCCAGTTTCTCTGATTTCGAGACTTTGAGTTTGAAACTTGATCTTTCAGCGCAACGTTGCTCGCTGGGTTCGATGGGACAAGCCAGATACACTAGCCGCCAAACGCAACTTCCTGACTCAAAAATCCAAGTCCGACACCGACTTGCTACGTGGCATCAACACTACAATACTTAACATCTGGAAGCAACAACGGAAGTCTGGAGCAGTATGTGGGCAGGATCCTTCCTACTGCGAGTCTCCATCCTCCGTGGCACCTCACGAGTGGCCAGATGACATCACACAGTGGCCGATTTGTGAGAAGAAGCACGAAGGGGCGGGGCTACCGGAACACGTGGCTTGCGAGGTGACAGGCCGCCCGTGCTGCATCCAGCTTCAAGGACTCTGTCGTATTGCCACCAAACAGTACTGCGATTTCGTTCGAGGTCATTGCATGAGAATGCGACGTTGTGCAGTCAGGTGAACTGTTTCGCGGGTGTCTGCGGAATGATGCCGTTCTTTGGCGCCTATCCAAATCAGTTTTATCGACTGTTCACTTCGCTTTTCATCCATGCTGGAATCATTCATTTAGCACTATCGGTTGGGTTTCAGGTGAGCGATTTTTCCAATTTGCGCGTCAACTTGTCAGGGAGTGTTTGCGTATTCTCTAGCATGTTGACGCGCAAATGGCGGTCGACGGTCGGTCAGCGGTCGAAAAAAAAAATCAAATTTTCAGTGGTGGGTCATGCGCGACTTGGAATTCATGATCGGCTCGAAACGAATGGCCATTTTGTACTTTTGCAGTGGAATCGGTGGAAATTTAGCCTCGGCCATTTTTGTGCCCTTTAATCCGGCGGTCGGACCGTCGAGTGCGTTGTGTGGAGTTATGGCAGCGGTTGTCGTGGATTTGTATCATCATAGGCAAGAGATGGTCTAGAAAACTGAAAATGGTGGCCTAGAAATCCTGATGACCTAGAAATCCGAAAATGACCTAGAAATCCAGGTGGCCTAGGAAATCCCTAGAAACCCAGAAATCCCGTATGGACTAGTAAACCCTAATGGCCTAGAAATTCAAAATGACCTAGAACGCCCCGAAATGACCTAGAAACCTAAAATGACCCAGAAATCCGAATGACCTAGAAATTCAGAATGGCCTAGAAATGCAAATGGTCTAGAAGTTCAGATGGCATAGAAATCGAAAATGACCTAGAAAACCAAAATAGCTTAAAAACCAGAAATGATCTAGAAATCCCCGAAACGACCTAGAAATCCTTAATGGCCTAGAAATCCAAATAGCCTGAAACCCCAAAATGGCCTAGAAATCCAAAATAGCCTAGAAAATCGAAATAACCCAGAAATAAGAAATGGCCTAGGAATCCAAATTTTTTCCAGACGCTTATCAGTGAGTTCAGCTGTGCCCTGTACCAACAACTTTTCGTTATTTGTGTCTATTTGGCGTTTGGCCTGATTCCATGGATCGATAATTGGGCCCATCTGTTTGGATCGATTTTCGGTTTTCTTGCCACAATTAGTAAGTTTGTTAGCTCCCATTTTCCACTCAGCAAATCCGCTCTATAGTAATCTTCCCCTACCTCGACTTTCCCGCCGAAGACGACAAGGTTCCGCTGATCACACCTGCGACAGGAGCTACCGTACCCAACACCCCCATAATTCCACGTGGCTCAATGAGCACAATAATCAATACAGCGGAGACGCCAATGATGACCGTTCAGGGATACAGTCAGCTGACGAATGGGACCTCCTCAGTGGCGCCCGGCAATTCGGCTGTAGGATGGTTGTGGGCTGCTGTCAGGAATAAGAGAACGGTAAGCTGGAAGACATTTTGGCGTGATTTTGAAAATTAAAAATTACATGAATTCCAAAACACCAAAATTTCAAAAATTCAATATTCCGAAAATTCCGATACTTTCAAAAATGCGAAACTTTTTCGATTCCAAAAATTTCAGAATTTTCAAAAATTCCAAAAAACCAAAAATTCTAGAAATATTCCGAAATTCCGAAATTCTGAAAATCTAAAAATTTCAAAATTCCATAAATTCCGAAGTTTTCGAATCTCCAATATTTTGTAATATCGGAATACCGTAAAACCTGTATTAGAAGGGCCCCTTTAAGAGAATAGAAGGGCCCCTCTGCGAGGGGCTTGGAAATATAGAAAGGCCGGNCCTTCGAATACAGGTTTGACGGTATTCCGATATTACAAAATATTGGAGATTCGAAAACTTCGGAATTTATGGAATCTTGAGATCTTTAGATTTTCAGAATTCCGGGAATTCGGAATACTTCTAGAAGTTTCGGTTTTTTGGAATTTTTGAAAATTCTGGAATTTTTGGAGGATTCAACCCCGGGGGCGATGATATCAGATCTGCCGGTCTACTGGCCGTCGTTT